CCCTAGCATTTTCTATTAATAATGACAACCTTTTAAGTTTACAAGGGTATTCCTATAATATTGTTTCATTTAATCCTCATCACAATTCTAAGAAATTATTGGAATCATCATTATTCTTCCAATTTTGCTAGCAAGAAACTGATGGCTTAGAAAACTAACATTCATTAAGCCTTTTCTACATGCCAAGCACTGTTCTAAACACTTTATTACCTCACTTAATCTCTACAGCAACTCTCAGAGAATTTCAGTAATATGCCTTATCACCCAGAAAATGTAGAGCCATGATTAAAAACCCTGGCAGTTTGTCTTCAGAGCCTTATTAGATGCATAAGTAATAAGTGGCAGACCAGAATTGAACCTATAGCTTCTGATTCTAGATCTTCTGCCTTTTTTTTTCTTTTGTGGTACGCGGGCCTCTCACTGTTGTGGCCTCTCCCGTTGCGGAGCACAGGCTCCAGACACGCAGGCTCAGCGGCCATGGCCCACGGGCCCAGCCGCTCTGCGGCATTTGGGATCCTCCTGGACCGGGGCACAAACCCATGTCCCCTGCATCGGCAGGCGGACTCTCAACCACTGTGCCACCAGGGAAGCCCTGCCTTTTTTTTTTTAAAAAGCTTCATTGCCTCTCAGGTGAAAGAATATCAAAGCCTAAAACATAATTGACCAGATGTACATTTGGGAATCATTAACATGATAGCTCGTTGACAGTATAGGAAAATCCCAGAAGTCGAACGTTAAACATTTTCTAAACTTGTTTGCCTATACTTTTCAGGAATGTAAGGCCTTAGAAGCTTATACCCCAGAATCTGACGAGTAGCAGAAAGTTGAGCCATACTGGGAATAATCTAGATTATTTTGACATCTTGAAGAATGTAGGAAGCTGTACACACACATGCACACACAAAAACTGATCTTAACCTTTAAAAAGCAAAAAACAAAAAACAAAAACTTAAGCATTTGTACTCCCAGTCTGTGCCTTTTACTGTGTCTTTAGTTAGCTGCATCTATGGAGAACTTTGCTTCACTTCAGAGTTTATTGTTATTTTAGGATTATAGCTCCTTCCACTGCTAAACCTATTACTTGGTTATTTAGATCTACAAATGTTACATAAGATTGATGGGTGGACAACAGTAGGGAAGAAAGGAAGCTGTAGACCTCACATAGAAGACTTTCTATAGTTTTGATAGTAAATTAGTAGCATTAACACTGATAGACTGGAAGAAGGGGCTTAACTTCTGATCCATTATGTTCAGGAAGAAAAATATTTCTGCATTGAATTGTTCTGAAATTTAGCATTCTACTGAATTTAATTTAAGAATATCAGTATCAGGACGTGCAAGATATATCAGGAAACTAGAAGGAGCTGACTTTCTTTTAATACTTAGAAACATTATATGCTTCATCAGAAGCTTATACTTGAGCACACTAATAGAATTTTCACTGATTCTGATCATCAGATTACTTTCTTCAAGCTGAAACTCAGTTGAAGTAGGGAACTGAAGTTTCACAAGACATGAGGAAACAGAACAGAAATTCTCCAAGTTCTGTTTCTGTTGGAATTCCGTGTATAAATTTTATTTGTGGTCCCAATTTGTTTTAAAAAGAATTTGTAGCTAGCTATGTTAAATGTAAAAGATATGAAAATAATGTCTTACTGACTGCTGCTATCAGTCAATAAAATTACACTTTCCTTTTTAAAAAACAAAACAAAACAAAACATTTATTTATTTATTTATTTTTGTCTGCATTGGGTCTTCATTGCTGCCCGCAGGCTTTTTCTAGTTGTGGTGAACAGGGGCTACTTTTGGTTGCAGTGCATGGGCTTCTTATTGCAATGGCTTCTCTTGTTGCAAAGCACGGGCACTAGGGGCTCGGGCTTCAGTAGTTGTGGCACGTGGGTTCAGTAGTTGTGGCACACGGGCTTAGTTGCTCCATGGCGTTTGGGATCTTCCCGGACCAGGGCTCGAACCTGCTCCCCCTGCATTGGCAGGCGGATTCTTAACCACTGTGCCACCAGGGAAGTCCCCACTGTTTCCTTTTTGAAAGAAGGTTGCATATTTGTTTGGGAAGCTTTATGACAACATCAATTTATCAATATGGGTTTGTTAGAAAGATCCTGTGTGTTATCCCCACCTATGATCTTGGTAATAAATTATAGTTGAAAATAAGGCTTAGAACAGGGAACTCTACTCAATATTCTGGAATAACCTATATGGGGAAAGAATCTGAAAAAGAATGGATGTATGTATATGTGTAACTGAATCACTTTGTTGTATACCCTGAAACACAATATTGTAAATCAACTATACTCCAATATAAAATAAAAATTAAATTAAATTGAAAAAAATAAGGCTTAGAGTTTGGGGGATGTGCTTTCCTCCACTTTATCTTCCTAAGTAACAAATTGATTAATTAACAGCAATAAATTGATTAATTAACAGAGTAACAAATTGATTAATTCACCTAAACAGTGCATGTTCACTCTGGGTTGGTTGGTTGTGGGTGTTTTGTTTGTGGTGGTGGTGTCATTTCATTTAAACGCTCATCCACTTTTATTTGTATCATTATTGGTTGCCTTTTCTGCAGATGTGTAGCACTTTGCAGTTTAGGTATTTGGATTTGTGAAGAACTAGTCCATGAGTCTCATCATCCTCAAATTAAGGAAGCTCTGAATGTAATTTGTGTTTCTTTAAAGGTGAGTAAATAAATAAATAAATATTTAGTGGACTATATTAAGATAGTATAGAATGCATGATTATTTTTCTCTAAATGTTAATTATATATAATTAATTATATATTGTGCCCTTACAGAATAATTAATTCATTAATTTATTATTACATTATTTCTTTGATTCCAACTTTTTCCTTAAGAGTAGTTCTGCTCTTGATTTTAGGATATCTTGGTGATGACCTGTTTTATCTCAACTTTTTATGTATTTGGCTTTGTCCCTAAGATAAATATGGATGACTCCTAAAAAGGAAACCAGTCATTTAACAACATTTGTAAGGCTGTTTATCATTTCTTAATCAGTATTTTTGTAACCTACCCTTCGATCTTTATTACTTCCTGAATTCTTGAGCTATTCAGTTTTTGGCTTTATCATTCAAGTTAAATGCCCTCTTTGTGACCAGAATAAGATTTGCTCAGAAATAATAACCTGATTATTTGGAGAGTGTGAATGAATAAATGGATATTTTTATTTGTAAAAAGATGAGTGATATTATTTTTTGTCCTAAGACTTGTATTATAATATCTGTATAGAACTCTAAACACACAAAGTACAAATATTACTTATTTGACAGATATTTCTGAGTATATACTATGTTTGAGGTGCTTTGCTAGGCAGAGTAAGGAATACCAGAATGAAAAAGAAATATAAATACTAGATTGAAGAGATTAATAATACGATGGCTGAAAAAGATTAAAATCAGTAATAAAATATAAAAAGCTGAGAGAACCAAGTGAGTGGTGCATATAAACTGCTGATTGAGTTCAGAGAAAGCAGAGGTAACTTTGACTTAGGTATCAGAGAAGACTAGAAAGAGGAAGTATGTGGTCAGGGATTGAAGAGTGGGTGAGATTTGGTTATAGAGAGATAAGCATAAAAAGTTTGACTTTATACCACTGGGGAGTCATCTAAGATTTTTAAGTATAGAGAATGTCAGCATCAGAACAGTTCTTCAGAAGATAATATGGAAGTATTGAGTATACTAAGTAGATTGCAATGGGGAATGATGGGATAACAAGATTAGCAGTTTAGAGACCATTCCAGAAATCCAGGTAAAAGAAAATGGAATAAAACTTTAATGAGGATAGTCAAACATTACAAAGAAAAAATAAAGTTAATTATATCTTTGGAATGTATTATGATTTTTTTATTTTGCAGGTATATATTTATCTTCCTAATATTTTAATAAACACAAATATAGAATGACAAAAATAAACATGTATACAATTTAAAATTTTTTAGCAGCTAATGCAGAGATTAATAATATCAGGAAGAAATTTTTTATAACAGTGCTTTTTTGTTTTTGTTTTTTTCTTCTTATTATTACAGTTTACAAATAAAACAGTAGCCCATGTAGCTTGTAACATGCTTCACATGCTGGTTCATTATGTACCTAGACTTCAGATTTACCAGCCTGATTCTCCTTTGAAAATTATTCAAGTAAGTAATTTCTCATTTATTTCTTATGACTTGTTAAAGATCCTTAGATTTGGATACCTTGAGATATAAAATTATTTAGTAGTTTTATTTACATTTTGCATAGCTAAATAATGGCCACTCAGGGTACTTTTTTTTTTTTTTTTTTTTTTTTTGTGGTACGTGGGCCTCTCACTGTTGTGGCCTCTCCCGTTGTGGACCACAGGCTCCAGATGCGCGGGCTCAGCGGCCGTGGCTCATGGGCCCAGCCGCTCCGCGGTATGTGGGATCTTCCTGGACCGGGGCATGAACCCGTGTCCCCTGCATCGGCAGGCGGACTCTCAACCACTGCGCCACCAGGGAAGCCCCAGGGTACTTTTTTGAGATATCAAAGTTCATGACAGTCCCTTTCTATATTATGTTAAGAGATTATGTGGTTGGTTTTAAATGCTACATGCAAATTTATCATTGCCATTGTCTTTATAATGTATATTAGGCTTCATTCCCTGTCTTAGGTTAGAAAACATACCGTCCCTCCAGTTACCAAAATCAGGAGGTTATTTTGATTCATTCCTTTCCTTTCCTCTTCAGCCAGTCATTTATTAAGTGGTTTATTTTTATTTTTATTTTTTTATGTGTTCTGTGCTTCCTACAATACCTGACATTTTTCAGCCCTTAATTATTTCTTTCTTGAGATACTATAATAAACTTCTAAACTGGTTTCCTGGCTTCTGAGGTCATCCCCGCCAAGTCATCATTCACATTGACATGACTCTTATGTCACTTTCCTGAAGAACAAACAAACAAACAAAATCTCTGAGTGGTTTTCCTTTGTCTATAAAATAAGACCCAAACTCTTTAGCTGGGAATTAATTTGAGGCCTCCAGATGAGGCCCCAGCCCATCTTTTCAGAATCATGTACCAATTCCTTTTATGAAATACCCTGTAGTCTGGGCACCTGAGTCAGCTATTATCCCCTAAACATACCCCTCACTCTCTTCTTACCTAAAATGTTTCTTTTCTCTACCCCACCCCCCATCTTTCAGTGATTGGTTTAAATACCATCTCCTCAAAAAATAAGAATCCTTACTTGTTCTCTCCAACCAGGATTTATCTTTCTTATCTTCATATTCTTACAACATTTTTAGGAAAGATAGTAATTAATATTTATTAAGCACCTACTACCATGTATCAGTCACTATACTAGTCACCTTTTCATATGTTACCTCATTTAATTCGTAAAAAGTCGTTTGAGGTGGACTGTTATCCCTGCCTCCTCTCCTCCCTTTATTTAAGATGAGAGAACTGAGGAGATAGCAACTGTATAAAGTCATAAGCTAACAGGGTAGAAACAGGGTTCAAACCCAAGTCTGTAAAATTTCAAGTCCAGACTTTTCCCACTCAACCACGTCGCCAGGCCCTATTTTAGCACTAAATATACTTGTGTAAAAATTCTAAGCTTCTTGGGACTTCCCTGGTGGCACAGTGGATAAGATTCCATGCTCCCAGTGCAGGGGGCCCGGGTTTGATCCCTGGTCAGGGAACGAGATCCCACATGCGTGCCGCAACTAAGAGTTCACATGCCACAACTAAGGAGCCTGTGGGCTGCAACTAAGTAGCCTGCCTGCTACAACCAAAGAGCACACATGCCACAACTAAGGAGCCTGTGAGCCACAACTAAGGAGCTTGCGTGCCACAACTAAGACCTGATGCAACCAAATAATAAATATTTTTTTAAAAAAATTCTGAGCTGCTTCTTTAAGACAATGGCATTTTTTTCTTCATTATTTTCTATGCCTAGGGTGACTTGCATGACTTCCATTTACCTAAGAATCTCTTAGGTAAATAATCTGTTGAGTTAAATATAGTATTATGGTTAAGAGGTTGGGTTTGAAGGTTAGACCTGGTTTAACTAATCCCTGACTGCCATTTACTAACTTTGTAACTATCAACAAATTACTCAGTCCTCTAAATTCTGGCTTTCTATATCTTTACATTTGGGATAAAAATACCTACCTCACAGAGTTGCTCTGAAGACTAAATGAGAAAATATATGTAACACACTGAGCACTTTTTGCCTTAAAAGTGATGGGACATAAATTTTAATAAATGTTGGCAGCAGCTACCATTGTTATCATGCAGGACATGATAACTGGATGTAAATGTGAATGTTCATATATATGTCTACTAGTATTAAAACATTTGACATTTTAAAACTCGAAAATTTTACCCTTTAAGATTGATTATTCTGTTGAAAGTTAAGGTGTTCTTTAAGTAAGCATTTTTTTTTTGTTCATTTGAAGGCCTCCAAATCCTTTCCCTTATTTTCTTCATAGTTTATATATTATTAATACTTACCTAAGTAATTTTTAGGTGTGTAGAGTTTTTGCAGATTGTTTCACTGTGCATTATAGTGGCCAGTGCCTACAGATAAATGGTTATACTTTACCTCTAATTGAATGAAGAAATGAAATTCTAAAATAGTAGAGCATTTCACTAATGGTTACCTACTTACATAGTTAGGAGTAGAAGCCCAGTTCTATTACCAGTATTAAGTATTAATCTAATATACTAGATTCTATTAGTGTGTAAAGCCTTTTATGGTATAAATTATGTTTAGAGGAATTTTTCTACTTGAAGCAATCATTTATAAAATTTAATAGCATACAATAAAAATGCAGTAAATTTACCTCTATACATTTTTTTTTTTTTTTTTTTGCGGTACACGGGCCTCTCACTGTTGTGACCTCTCCCGTTGCGGAGCACAGGCTCCAGACACGCAGGCTTAGCGGCCATGGCCCACGGGCCCAGCCACTTGCGGCATGTGGGATCCTCCCGGACCGGTGCGCGAACCCATGTCCCCTGCATCGGCAGGCAGACTCCCAACCACTGCACCACCAGGGAAGCCCACCTCTATGCATTTTTAACATGCACATTAAAAAATTGAATGAGGGCAACTAGGCCCGTGAGTCACAACTACTGAGCCTGCGCGTCTGGAGCCTGTGCTCCGCAACAAGAGAGGCCGTGATAGTGAGAGGCCCGCACACCGCGATGAAGAGTGGCCCCCACTTGCCACAACTAGAGAAAGCCCTCGCACAGAAACGAAGACCCAACACAGCAAAAGTAAATTAATTAATTAATAAACTCCTACCCCCTACATATTCTTAAAAAAGAAAAATTGAATGAGATCAAGAAATTTCCAGGGTAAATGATAACACTATAAGAATGTTTTGCTTTCTTTTAATAAGGTCTTTTATTTCATATTCTCTGTATCAATTTTATTCATATTCTGTTCAGTGTATAATATATGTTAATTTAAAAAGCCACATTATAAAATCTTTCTTTAAAAAAAAGGCGTATATTTACAAGTATATATACCGAAATATATGGGAAGATGAGAGTAAATTTCTTTATTTTTCCCCCAACTTTATTGGGGAATAATTGATAAATATAATTGTATTATATTAAAGTATATAACATAATGATTTGATATTGTAGAAGGGTTACCAAGATCAAGATAATTAACATATCCATTACCTCACATTGTTAACATTTTTTTATGGTGAGAATGCTTAAGGTCTACTCTTAGCAACTTTAAGATATTCAGTACTGTACAGTTAACTGTAGTTACTGTACTATACATTAAATCCTCAGAACTTATTTTTATAACTGAAAATTTGTACCCTTTGACCTACATCTCCTTAGTTCACTGGACCCCAGCCCCTGGCAACCACTATTCTGTTTCTATAAAATCAGCTACTTTTACTTTTCCACATATAAGTGATACCATACAATATTTGTCTTTGTCTGGCTTATTTCACTTAGTGTAGTGCACTCCAGGTTCTTTCATGTTGTCTTAAATGGCAGGATTTTCTTCTTTTCTATGGCTTGAATAATATTCCATTGTGTATATATGTACACCACAATTTCTTTATCCGTTCATCTGTTGAAAGGCATGTGGGCTGTTCCATATCTTGGCTATTGTGAATAATACTGCAGTGAGCATGGGTGTGCAGGTATCTCTTTGAGACACTGATTTCATTTCCTTCTGAGATATACCCAGGAGTGGTATTATATGGTAGTTCTATTTTTAATTTTTTGAGGAACCTTCATACTGTTTTCCATAAGGCTGTATCAGTTTACATTCCCACCAATAGTATATAAGCGTTCCCTTTTTTCCACATCCTCGCCAACATCTGTTCTCTCTTGTTTTTTTAAAAATAGCCATCCTAACAAATGTGAGGTGATATTTCATTGTGGTTTTGATTTGCATTTTCCTGATATTACCGATGTTGAATACCTTTTCATGTTCCTGTTGGCCACTTGTATGTCTTTGGAAAAATGTCTATTCAGATCCTTTGCCCATTTATAAATTTAGTTAGTTAGTTTTGCTATTGGGGGTATAAGTTCCTTGTATATTTTGGATATTAGCGCCTTATCAGATATATGGTTTGCAAATATTTTTTTCCATTCTGTAAGTTGTCTTTTCACTTTATTGATGGTTTCATTTGCTGTGCAGAAGCTTTTAGTTTATGTAGTGCCACTTGTTTATTTTGTTGTTGTTGCTTCTGCTTTAGGTATGATTTCCAAAAAAATCATTACCAAGACCCATGTTAAGGAGCCTTTTCCTATGTTTTCTTCTAGGAGTTTTATGGTTTCAGGTCTTTATATTAAGCCTTTGATCCATTTCAAGTTAATTGTTGTGAGTGGTATAAAATAGGGGTCCAGTTTCATTCTTTTGCACATGGATATCCAGTTTTCTCAACACCGTGTGTGTGTTCTTGGACCCTTGTCAAAGATTAGTTGACTGTATGTGTGGGTTTATGTCTAGGCTTTATTCTAATGCACTGGTCTGTGTGCCTGTTTTTGTGTCAGTACCTTACTGTCAGTACCGTATTTTGATTACTGTAGCTTTATAATAAAGCTTGAAATCAGGAAGTGTGATGCCTCCAGCTTTGTTCTTCTTTCTCAGGATTGCTTTGGCTCTTTGTTTTTTTTTTTGTGGTTCCATTCAAATTTTAGGATAGTTTTTTTCTACTTCTGAGAAAAACACCACTGGAATTTTGCATTTAGTTGCATTGAATCTGTAGACTACTGTGGTAGTGTGAACAATTGAACAATATTAACAATATTAATTCTTCCCCATCTATGACATGGAATATCTTTCCATTTATTTGTGTCTTCAGCTACATTCACTAGTGTTTTCTAGTTTTCAGCATATAAGTCTTCCACCTCCTTGGTTAAATTTATTCCTAAGTATTTTATTGATTTTGATGCTGTTGTAAATGGGATAGCTTATTGTGATAGTTTATTGTTGGTGTATGCAGCTGATTTTTGTATGTTGATTTTGCATCCTGCAGCTTTACTGAATTCATTTATGAGTTCTAACGGGGTTTTTTTTGGTGGAATTTTAGGATTTTCTATATATAAGATCATGTCATGTACAAACAGAAATAATTTTACTTCTTCCTTTCAGACTTGGATGCCTTTTATTTCTTTTTCTTGCCTAATTGCTGTGGTAAGACTTCCAGTACTGTGTTGAATAGAAATGGCAGTTGTGAGCATCCTTATCTTGTTCCTGACTTTAGAGGAAAGGATATTAACTTTTTACCTTTTGAGTATGGTGTTAGCTTTGGGCTTGTCATATATGGTGTTTATTATGTTGAGATACATCCCTTCTATACCTAATTTGTTGAGCAAAGTAGATGTCTTGAGTGATAAATTATAGATGGTTTTTATAAATCTTTTTGCTTATCTATGTCTTCTCATTTTTCTGTCAGAACATATATTATTTGTATGTTTATACTTATTGATTCATGACTTGAATTTGTAAGAAATCCATTTATAGTTAACAGAGCATATATAACTTTGGTTCTGTACATTAGGATTGTAAATGATTGATAGTTAAGTGTACTTGAAAAGCTGACCTATTAAAAATTACTTTGAAATAACAATGTTAATATATTTTGGATAAACTTTCAGCAGTAGATTTTGTATCACTTTAGCATTATTGTTTAAGTTTTAGGATGCACCATTAGTTTGACATATTTTGAGCTATTTTCTTTATTTCTTACAGATTCTAATAGCCACTATTACCCATCTTTTGCCAAGTACAGAAGCTTCATCTTATGAAATGGACAAGAGGGTAATTTAAATTTTTTAATATTTAATATGTGGTTATCTAGTAAGATACTTATATTTTAAAACTGTGAAGGTATATCTATTTACATGGGAAACATTAATTAATCTTGTGTTTAAAATAATTTGAAATATAGCTTTCCATTATTTAAGTGTAACTAAATCACATTTTAGTTTATATCTCAAGTTAATCATGGTCATCTGATAAAGTCTTTGAATTTTAGGGTTGTAAGGAACCTGGGAGGATATTCTGTCCATTTATAATTTTTTTACTTGTTATGGTCTTGTTTATGCCTGAAAATAACTGAGAATAGGTCCAGAAACATAATTACAGCTGCAGAGTTCTGTAAATAATGGGCAGAACATATGTAATAAAACATACTTGATATTTCAACACAATATGATTAAGAAATGGTAACACTGAGATTTCTTGTTGGCATTGTCAACACATGAGTTCTATTAAACTGTGGGAATATATGAGATGACTTAAGGTGAAGCTGTAAAGTAAGAAGGGTTAGCAAAGTATAACACCTTGAAGATAGCAGTTAACAGGCAGAGAGGGGGGTCACCAACGTAGTGACATAGAAGGCTGCTGAATTTTCCTCCTCGCTTGGACCCATGGAAGATACAGCTACACATGGAGCAGTTCCCTCTGAGAGAAATCCAGAAACTAGTCAAGTGACCTCTACACATCAAGCGACTAAGAAAATACCCACATCAAAAATAGGTAGGAAAGGCTGTAACACACTCTTGCCATAAAGCCCACCCTAGCAGAGCTCCTTACAGTCAGGAGGAAGCCCCCAATTCCCACCTTCTCTCTGAGGAGAGAAGGGTTTAACCCATACGTCTAGCACCCCACCTTTTAAGCCTGCCACCCAAAGACAGGTCCCCAAATCACCTGGCTCTGAAAAAAGTATAATAGTCTAGATATTCATTGGTACTTTTGGTTTTTCACTTGACAGTATATTCTGGAAATTCACAATAAATAAATTCACAGAGGTCTTCCATGTTCTTTTTTGCAGCTGTATAGTATTAGTACTCCATTGAGGGAGTGTACCATAATTTATAAATTTCATAATTTATTCAAGTCATTCTTCTATGTATGGACATAGAGATTATTTTCAGAATTTTGCAATTACAAGCAATGCTGCAGTGACTAACTTTATGTCTGTATATTTTTACATTGTTGGAATGTGTCTTCAGGGTGTATTCCTAGAAGTGGAATTGCTGGGTCAAAAGGTAAACAGACAATGTAATTATGTTAAATATTGGCATTCCCACAAGCATATACTATGAGAGTATGTTTCCCCAGAGCCTAACCACAGAGTATGACATATTTTTTAATTTTTGCCAATTTGATAGGGGAACAATAGTATTTCAATGTAGTTTTCATTTACTTTTCTCTTTTTATAAGTGAAGTTGAATATCTTCTCATATTTATTAATGGCCTAATTTTTTACTTTATTTTTGTGAATTGTCCATTCATATGTTTTTATATTTTCAGTCAGATTTTGGTATTTTTCCCTCAGATGTTTACATATTAGGGAGTTTTTTATGTAAGTCAGTTTATCAATCTTTTACTTCATTAGGTATCTAGATTTTGAGCCATAGGTAGAAAACCTTTTCACGTTTTCTTCTAGTACTTATACAGCTTCATTGTTTACACTTTTAACCCTCATCCATTTGAAGTTTATTTTCTGTGTTTTGAGATAGGGATCTAATATTTGTTGTTTTCCTAAATGGATAACCAGATTTCTGAGTTCCCTTTATTAAAAAGTTCCTCTTTGCCCCTTAATGAATAATCAAGTTCCATAATTACTTGGGTCTGTTTCTTAACTTTCTATACTAGCAGTTTTCAAACTCTTTTGGTGACAAAATCATTTTACTATTGATAAACATTTTTGAAGATCTCAACTTTTGTTAATGTGGACTATATTTTGTCTTCTTGACCTGTCTTGTACTGAGAGTGGTGTGTTAAAGTCTTCTATTAATATTTCTATATTTCCTTGCATCTACTGTGGTTTTTCCTTTGTAGTCACTGTTATTTTATATATAGATATCCATAACTGTTTTATCTTCATTTTGAATTATAGCTTTAACATTAATGCTTTTTGGTTTGAATTCTAATTTGCCTGGTGTACCTTTTTCCATCTCTTTAGTTTTAGCCTTTCTGAATCTTTTTGTTTATATCTCTTGAATACAACACATACTTGCGTCTTGCTTTGTGAGCCAAATTGAAAATCTTTTTCTTTTATTAGGCAAGTTAAGCCCATTTTTATGATCTATTGTATTTTTTATCTTACCTCTATCATTTTATTTTATGATTATTATGCATGTTATATTTTCTTTTTCTTTCTCTGCATGATGTATTTCCTTTGTTCTTCTTAAAATTCTTTTGGTATTCAGGAAACTTTGTACTTTTCTCTTGTAGTTACCTTTATATGTATACTTTTTGTAATGCCTTTGTTCCCTTGCTTTCTTAACCTTTTATACTATATGGTTTGTGATTATTTAATGGTATCCTTTATCTCCCATATGTTGCCTACATGTTAATAAGTGAGCTTATGTTACTTTTCTTCTCTCTCTTCACCTTCATTTTTAGTTCCTTTATGTCTGCACATAACATTTAGCACATGTCATATAACAGATGATTCTTCTACACTCATCTCTACATTTTTTTAAAATCTTAGATCCATAACTAAATAAATATATCAGATACTCACTGTTAGACTTTTTACTGAAGTTCCTCAGTCAACTTCTTGGTTAAATGAAGTTCATCTTTATTCTTCAAGATTGGCTCATGAATGCAGAATTCCCTAAGCTCTTGCATATATAAATTTTTTTCTGTAACAAGATACTTGAAAAGTAGCTTGGCTAGATATGGAATCCTTGGTTCACACTTATTTTCCTTGAGGTTTTTATTTTTTTTAATGTTGCCTTGCTTGTATACTGTTTTTGAGAAATCTGATGCCATTTTTATTCTCTTGTCCTTGTAAGTTATTTCATCTTTTTTCCTGGAGGCTCTAAGGAGATACACACACACACACACACACACACACACACACATACACACATACACACACACACACACACACATATATATATATATATTTATTTTTTTAGGTCTTACTTTTCAAGTTTTACCAGGATATGTATTAGAGTTGATTATTGCAGGTCAGTTTGTCCTGGATCTGGTAGGCCTTGTCAATATGTAGATTTGGGGGACTCCACATTTAAGTGAATAGGATATTCTTTTTCTGTCTTCCATTCCAGTCATTTCTCTGCCATTTTTTACCTTTTTCTTTGTCTCACTTTTGTTCTCTTTATTCAATGCCCCTTATTAAATTTTCTTTTTATTTTTTTCAAACTTATTCTTCCTTAGGCATCTTATAACTTGGGCTTCATTTCTAATATCATTTTATCCTTTTTTAGTTTTCTTTCCTGACTTGAATCAATTCTTCCCTTTTTGGTCTATTTCTTCTTAGTTTTTTAAATTCCTGATTTAAGATGGGATTTTCGTTGTCCCCTATACCTAAATGCTTATTTGACAATACTTAATTTAGATTAGAAGGTTGTGTTATAGTTTTCTTCTGCTTCATTATTAGTTTTGGTGGGCAGGAATTTTCATCAGCTGAATTGCTTAAGATTCTCATTTTCTGTTTTCTTTTTATAGTAGTTCTGTATAGATGAAGACTGTGTCTGCATTTCTGTGGACAAGATTGGTGGCTTGGGGTGGTTTATAAGATTCCTATTTCAAGAGCTCCCTCTTCTGGCAGTTTAATAAAGTATAGTGTTTTTATTGGATGACACTAAGGTGGGAGAGGAATTACAGAACCATCAGTTTTAAAAAATTGTAAAAATCTTGCAAGGTCCTAAATTTCTCTTTTGATTTTTCTTTTCACATTATGTTTTCCACAAGGTGTCTTTCCAATCCCTTTTAACATTTTTCTCCCCTAAAGTATTACCTTTCCTGCAGTACTTTTAAATACTTTCCTTCTACTCAGTACTCTATCTACCAGTACATGTTTTTCATTATTCTCACACTTAGGGTAGACCTTTTTTGGGGGCTTGGTTTTTTGGTTTGTACCTAGTTTCTTTCTCTCTTTTACAGCTTACCCAAACTACCCTCACTCTTCATGAGAGCTTGCAGTGGGAGAATGGGTAAAAGCTTGTTGGATTTGCTGTGTGTATTTTCTACTCACAGATAATTGAATTTTGAATGTTCTGTTTTCTGGTTATACTGAGGATGTGGGTTTTGTGATATTTTATTGGTTCTTTTTGTTCTTTATTGTTCTTTTGGAGGGTGTGTTGTGAGATTTAGGCCAGCATTACTCTTTGAGTTGGAGAGTTGGTCTTTGATTCTAAAGATCAGTGTATCTCTTATTGCTACTTGATTGACACTTTTATGGTACTAATTGTGATTCTTTATTCAATAAAATGGACCACATAGATACTGCTATTTTACTCTACATTTTGGATAACAGTGTTTTGTTTATAACATCCATCAGTTTAAATGTGTCCAGTAGAAAAATTCATTTAATGTAATTAGTAACAGTATCAGAAAGTGGTTAAGATAGTCTTTCTGGCAGGTTGCTCAGTGAGGTGTTAAATTAGAAAAGAAATGTGGAAATGATTGTAATACATATGAACTAAAACCTTTCATTTGTGTTCCATTTCTTGTGCATTACGTAAGAAAAGCTAATTGATGTCTGTTGTCTTTTAAGCTCAGTGTTTTTATGTTTGTTTAAAAATAATTTGGGGACTTTCCTGGTGGTGCAGTGGTTAAGAATCCGCCTACCAATGCAGGGGACACGGGTTCGATCACTGGTCTAGGAAGATCCCACGTGCCATGGAGCAACTAAGCCCATGAGCCACAACTACTGAGCCTGTGCTCTAGAGCCCGCGAGTCACAACTACTGAAGCCCACACACCTAGAGCCCGTGCTCCACAGCAAGAGAAGCCACTGCAATGAGAAGCCCACGTACCACAATGAAGAGTAGCCCCCGCTTGCTGCAACTAGAGAAAGCCCATGTGCAGCAATGAAGACCCAACGCAGCCAAAAATTAATTAATTAATTTAAAAAATAATAATAATTGTAATGTTCCTGTTTTTATTATGCTTAAGGTTTCATTGTGCTTGCTTGCCCTAAAATATAAGGGAGAAACCCACAGTAATGTTCATATACATCTTAAAATCATTTAGGTCTAGGTAAATGTTAATGGTGGAACTTACTTGATAGTTCCTGAAATACATTTTGGAAAACAAAAGATAAGTTGGTGAATTTCTGTTAAATTTTTAACTCTTATTTTATGAGTTTACAATAATAATGATCTTTTTTGTTGTTGTTTCAGTTGGTGGTATCCTTACTTCTGTGCCTTCTGGACTGGATCATGGCCTTACCTCTAAAGACACTGCTCCAACCAGTCCATGCTACAGGAACAGAAAATGATAAAATAGAAAAATCTGTCCTCAACTGTATTTATAAGGTAAACTTCTTTGCTTTATTATTTATTTGGTAACCAAGGGTTTTTAAAACCTAAAGAAATAACATTTCTTAGTATTACATTTTCATTATTTTATAGCTAGGTATTTACTTTTAATAAATTTATTTATTTATTTTTGGGTGCATTGGGTCTTCGTTGCTGTGCTTGGGCTTTCTCTAGTTACAGCAAGTGGGGGCTACTCTTAGCTGCGGTGCGTGGGCTTCTCATTGTGGTGGCTTCTCTTGTTGCAGAGCACGGGCTCTAGGCGTACGGACTTCAGTAGTTGTGGCACATGGGCTCAGTATTTGTGGCTTGCAGGCTCTAGAGTGCAGGCTCAGTAGTTGTGGCGCACGGGCTTAGTTGCTCCGCGGCATGTGGGATCTTCCCGGACCAGGGGTCAAACCCATGTCCCCTGCGTTGGCAGGCGGGTTCTTTTTTTATTATTATTATTTTTTTATTTATTTTTTTTGCGGTACGCAGGCCTCTCACTGTTGTGGCCTCTCCTGTTGCGGAGCACAGGCTCCGGACGCGCAGACTCAGCGGCCATGGCTTAAGGGCCCAGCCGCTCCGCGGCATGCGGGATCTTCCCGGACCAGGGGTCAAACCCATGTCCCCTGCGTTGGCAGGCGGGGTCTTTTTTTATTATTATTATTTATTTATTTATTTTTTTTGCGGTACGCAGGCCTCTCACTGTTGTGGCCTCTCCTGTTGCGGAGCACAGGCTCCGGACGCGCAGACTCAGCGGCCATGGCTTAAGGGCCCAGCCGCTCCGCGGCATGCGGGATCTTCCCGGACCAGGGGTCAAACCCATGTCCCCTGCGTTGGCAGGCGGGGTCTTTTTTTATTATTATTATTTATTTATTTATTTTTTTTGCGGTACGCAGGCCTCTCACTGTTGTGGCCTCTCCTGTTGCGGAGCACAGGCTCCGGACGCGCAGACTCAGCGGCCATGGCTTAAGGGCCCAGCCGCTCCGCGGCATGCGGGATCTTCCCGGACCAGGGGTCAAACCCATGTCCCCTGCGTTGGCAGGCGGGGTCTTTTTTTATTATTATTATTTATTTATTTATTTTTTTTGCGGTACGCAGGCCTCTCACTGTTGTGGCCTCTCCTGTTGCGGAGCACAGGCTCCGGACGCGCAGACTCAGCGGCCATGGCTTAAGGGCCCAGCCGCTCCGCGGCATGCGGGATCTTCCCGGACCAGGGGTCAAACCCATGTCCCCTGCGTTGGCAGGCGGGGTCTTTTTTTATTATTATTATTTATTTATTTATTTTTTTTGCGGTACGCAGGCCTCTCACTGTTGTGGCCTCTCCTGTTGCGGAGCACAGGCTCCGGACGCGCAGACTCAGCGGCCATGGCTTAAGGGCCCAGCCGCTCCGCGGCATGCGGGATCTTCCCGGACTGGGGCACGAACCCGCGTCCTCTGCATCGGCAGGTGGACTCTCAACCACTGTGCCACCAGGGAAATGCTGAGCTAGGTGTTTTCTAAGAACATAGATTTATCTTATGGTACCTAGGGATAATTAATAAGTACTTCTTACAAGACACTGTTGTTTCATTGCAAAATTTTGAAAGAAGTCTGTTGAATATGAGAATCATTAGTTAAATTTTGCTCATTCTTCTTTTTTAGATTTTAGCTTGATTGAAGAGCTAAGTGTTTAAATATTTAAAATTTTTGTCAGGTGCTTGTATTAACAGTTGACTTGTTTCCTCCTTTTTCTTTATTTATTTTCACTTAAAAGGAAAACTTGGTATGTTTTTTCTCCTCTATTTTCAGGTATTACATGGGTGTGTTTATGGATCTCAGTGTTTTAGCAATCCAAGGTATTTTCCATTAAGCCTCTCTGATTTGGCATCTGTAGATTATGATCCTTTTATGCATTTGGAAAGCCTAAAAGAGCCTGAACCTCTGCACTCTCCTGATTCGGAACGATCTTCTAAACTCCAGCCAGTAACAGAAGGTAAAATGAACTCTCTTCAGGACAGTATTGTTGCTTGGGTTCTCCCAAGGTATGATTTGAGGCCTGGGTAGAAATACTGGAGGATAATATATGTTACTTTGTAATTGTTTACCTTGACATGTATGTTATAGCTAAGTTCATTTTTAGTTTAAGAAACAACTTCAGATACACAGTTCCTAAGATTATATGTGATGACATTCCCTTTATACTTCTAAGTTATTCTGATAAGTTTTTTAACCACATTGTTTTTACATTCAGAGAGTTTACTGTCTGATAAAAGGGAAAGATGTAAACAAGTAACCTTATGATATGAGTACATATTAAAACAAAAGTACATTCAAGATACAGGGGTAGCCCAGAGGAACCCAGCAATTACTGAAGGGTTTTAAGGAGGTGATATACATCAGGGGTTCCCAACCTCCAGGCCATGGACTGGTACCGGTCTGCGGCCTGTTAGGAACTGGGCCGCAGAGCAGGAGGTGAGCAGCAGGCAAGCACATGAAGCTTCATCTGCTGCTCCCCATCACTCCCATTACCGCCTGAACCATTCCTCCACACCCCACCCCCCATCCGTGGGAAAGTTGTCTTTCACGAAACTGGTCCCTGGTGCCAGAAGGGTTGGGGCCCACTGATATACATGATAAAATTAGTATTAAGAGCACTTTGATAGTAGTATTTTACAGGAGTCAGCAAACTATGGCCCATGCCTGCCACCTGTTTCTATAAATAAAGTTTTATTGAGACACATCCATGTTCTTCATTTATGTGTCATACGGCTGCTTTTGTGTAGTAATAGTAGTGTTGAGTAGTTGGGACAGAGATAGCATGGCCCATAAAGCTGAAGATAATTTACTCTCTGTCCCCTTGCAGAAAAAGTTTGCTGATCTCTAGTATGTTAGATTGATTTTAGGGTGGTTAACTTAGAATCAGAGAGACCAATCATGATGCTGTTGCAATAGGCCAAGCAAGAGTTGCTAAAGGGTTAAATTGGTTATATTTTCTCTAAACTAGACTAAGAATATGAGAAAGTTTAGAGGATTAGGAGGGAAAATCAGGAGGGCAGTATTGGAAATGGTTAGCTTAGAGTGCCTGTTGGATATTCATGTGAAGAGATCTAGTGGACAGATCTAGGTCTTAGCAGAGGGGTCTTTGTTAGGAATATGTATTTACATGGGTGTGTGTATTCTGAGAAGAAAAAGTTGGAAAGGAAGGAAAACCAGGAGAGAGTAGTTTCTCAGAAACAAAGAGAAGAGAAAGATTTTTTTTAAGACTGGCCAATGGTATTAAATGATAGAGATATCAAGTACAAAAAGACTGACAAATATATCTACTTTAGTTTCAGCAGAAAAGTAGGAGACAGAAGTGGATGGCTGTGGGTTGAAGAGCAAGCAGAAGTTAAGGAAGTAGAGCCATCTGTCAAAAGTGCTCTTTAAAAAAGCTTGACTTTTTTATTTTAAAAAAGCAAAGAAAAATGATAAAACAATACATAAGTTAAAAGATTATTCAGGATTAACGAGTTCTAAAGACAGAGTTAAAGTCAGTATTAAGCTGAGAAGGAAGGTAGTAAGGGTATCATTAATAGAGTGAAGTTCCTGAGAGGTGAGCTGGAAAGATTAGGTGTTAATATTAGCCCTTCTTCTGCGACCAGAAAGAAGGTGCAAGTAAATTAAGGGGGCTGACAGAAGTTACTGAGGGCCCAGCAGAAAATGGAAACTGCAAAGTTTTGGTTGCACAAGTCAACATTCAGTAAGGTGGATCTGGCAGATACACAAGGGAACAATGGCCTTCAGAATGTTAATATGTGGTTTAGTTATAGAATCTAGGGTTGGTAAGGATTGAACTGATGCTAGGAACTGGGTAATAAGCTGGAAGAAAGTAGAGGTGATGCAGTGAGTCAGAAAGTAGATGTGGTTGTTAATAAATTAGAACAGTGATTCTCAGCCTTGGCTGCATATTACAATACTGATGTCTGGTCCCATCCATAGAGATTTTGATATATTGATCTGGGATTGTTGGGATTTTTAAAACCTTGCAGGTGATTAATAAGCAGCCAAGGTTGAGAACCACAGAGCATATCAGTATGTTAGGACAGTGGTTTATTAAATGAGTTTTTAAGCAGTGGAACCTCGTCAAATAAATTTCACAAGGAAGTCCACTTTGTAAAACTTTTTAAAGTAGAGCTGCAGCAGGGATTGTGCTGACTTCTCTCCCATTCATCTGCAACAGCCCTCTCCCAGGCTCTACAAAACAAAATTGGGAAATCACTAGACTAGGGGGTTGTGGTCAAAGAGTAAACTATCAAGGAAGAGTTTGATTTTTAAAGGCAGAATAGTTATAAGTGATTAAAACATTTAGGATGTGGCTGTGGTAATGGATTGATGACATAGAATGCAAGTGAAGATATAAAGCTACACATCAAGGAAATAGGGCTAGGGTTTTGTGTTGATCACAGATAGCTGATAATTTGTCTAGAACACATATATACAAGTGAAATAGGAATATAGGAAAAATAATTCAGACAATAATTGATACAGGTGACATAATTATTTCTTTAGATTTGGCATAGTACAATACAGTGTTTATTTTACTTAAGGACAAAGTTATATGAAAATATTCTTTGCTTTTGCATTTTTAAAGGTGTAAAATGATAAAGTTTGATTCAGGGCAGGATAGTGTATTTCTTAAACAGTGAAATAAATTAGTTTACTTATGTAAAAGGAAGTTTTAATGTAATTCATGCAAATTTACTGTGCCATTAACAGTCACTGTAAAAGACAGAAAGGTGTAAAGGTTTTAAACAGATGAGCTTTATATTGATACCAAATACTCTGTAGGGTGCTATTCTCTAAATGTATTAAAGTTGTTCCCTTTGGACTTTCTTAAATGTATTAAGGACCAGATAAATGCAGAACCTTTTAGGAACAGCTGTGAGCTAGCAGCAGGTGATTCTGTGGTCTGTAGTGACTACATGCTGTGGGGTTTTTTTAATGTGGCAGAAATGGCTAATCATTGTGCCCTTGTCTAAGGCATGCTTCATCATCTTCAAGTACTTTTTTGGCCAAAGATTTCTAAACATAGAGTGTCCCTAATAAGCTCAGTATTGGATTGAACAAGTCTGATTTGAGAATGATTGGCAGGAGTAGCTGTAATTATTAAATTTACTAAAGAATAAAGCAAGGTAGTGAAGTTGGCTTTTTGTCAAATGGCAGTAGTCTTATTAGCAAAAAGTCATCATTTGCAGGGTCAGAGTGAAAGGAGGCTCTAAAGAATTCATTCTGTCTTAATTATAGTTTCACCTATACATATTATGCAAAGCTCATATTTAAAGCATTTGCCAAAATTAACTTCCTCTGCATGTTCTATTACAGTGCAGTGAATTGCAGCAGCTTTTTATGTCTTGCTGCTTTTGTATGCCATAATAATCAGTAATTACGGGTTTGCTGCAAATGCTTGTAGGGTTTGTTTAATCTGACAATATGAAAAGACAACCTTGAATAGACTTTTTTGAATGAATGCTAGTTACACAAAGCCTTAGAAGCATCGATATCTTCATTTTGCATTTTCTCACAAGGCTGGTTATTTTAGAATTTCATTTTGAATTTCTACATTAGAGAATTTCATATGTTTTCTTTATATCTAAGATATATAGAAGAAAGATGTGTATGTTCTGTAGCTTACGATTCAAAAATAAATCTAAATAAACCTAACTGCCAAATTAACAAGTTGAGGGGTTTCTGTCCCTTTATATAAATATATATATATATATATATATATATATATATATATCTCCTGAATTTGGAGAAGCAGCTTAGGAAAGAAAATGCTTCTACCTGCTTCTGAAATGTAAATTTATTTTTTAAGTGTAATCAGTGAACTTCTGTGAACCCTCAAGTGCAAAATGAGAAGTATTGGCTAGATTATCTGCAAGGCCTCTTACAGTGTGAACACTCATTAAAATCTAAGCTATAATTAGAGAAGCAAAAGCAGGCACTAGATTCAAATCACCCCTCTGTTTCTCATCATTCAGTGGTATATCTTTTTACTTTACCATAATAGGTCTTGAAAATGTAGGATTGAATTAAGGTTAATCATTTAGTGTTGTTATCTAGTGTTGAATAGCTCATTTTCAGAGCTAGCCATACTATCGTCAAAGAACAACTCAATGTAATTGGAACTTTTTAAGTAAACTGAAAAATGTTTATATGTACATATATGTAAAATAAAACTTGATTATGGAAGATTAAAAGTTTGACACTCAGTAACATTTCAAAATCAACCAAAGTCCACAGAAAACTGTTCTTTTTTAGGGTTGGAATAATGGAGAAGATGTTATTGGTATTAATGGCATAGCAGCTGATTTGTTGCTGACTCTTTGCCTGTACCCAGTGGTGTCGGTTCTGAATCTTGAGGGCTACAACCTTGAAAATATAACATTGTTCTTCTTTCTTGCCTCTTTTTAAGTAATCATATTAGCAGTGCAAAACCTATTTCCCTTATAAACTTTATAAAGTTGAGTTTATTGAGGTATAATTTACATGAAATAAAATTTATCTTCCTTTGATGTGAGAATTTTACTATATATTGATTGTGTTGGTGGATATACAATTCTATATAGTTACTGAAATTCATCACAAAGTACACTCGAAATTAAGGAATTTATTTTATGTAGGTAATACTTTGATCATCAGGACATTTTCAAATCTATATTTATTCTGGTAGCTAGGCCATAGTATTCCCAAATGATTAACTTTCAGAATATAAACAATGCTCAGACAATATCACTGTGGTAGAACAATACAGAGACATGATTATTCTGTAACCTTGTTTATAAGACAGACAAGAACACTATCAACACACACACAAACACACAACTGAAGCCCTCTTCTAACATGAATGATTAGTATGTCTTTAGTAATGACAACTCTCCTCCCACCTCCTAGACGAAAAGTATCAAGTTAACCCAGTTGTCCCCACTTCCTGACACCACTCATTACATAAGTGGCTTCCACATCAACCCTCTATAGAATCACACTGGCAGTCTTTGGCTAGTGGGCTTGGACAAGTTATTGTCTATCTGCATTTCCTCCTTTCTCCCTTTACTCTCTTTCTGTATTCTTTGTTTTCCTTCCACCCTCCCCTCCTTTAGGTCATGACATTAGGCACCTTGCCTCTTCAGGCCTCTTACTACTATATTCTTTGAGTTTTCTCTTTTTACCATTTCCTGTGTTTGTTTGTTTGTTTTTAAGTTACTCGTATAGATATGCTCCTGATCTCTTTAATGCCTTAGAAAAATAAGCAGGCCATAAAATATTTTTTCCTTTAAAATAAAGTTTCCTTGGCATATGCTGGCTACACTGACTCACTATTTAAATTGATCCTGACTCCTAAAGTTTAGTGAAAGATCACTTTTTTCTGACACTCTTACATCATCCATAAAAGCCATAATTAAATGCCGTTTAAGGCATGCTGCAAACTATGTTTCTGAATCTCCTCATAATATAAGAAACTTAACAGTTGGATTTCATTGACTTTTTAATCTGGGTGCTAAGTGATTTCAAGTGATTTATAACACTTTTGAACCTTCTTTGAAGGTATGATGTACATTTAAGAGCCTCAGTTTAAATTATGACTCATAAGCAAAAATTTCAAAAAGGGCTTTCTTATAAAAATGAACAAAACTTCATCAAAGAACAGTTTTCTTCTTCGTTATCATTCTTGTAGTACATACTCTAAATTGAAAATATTAATATTTACTCAAATATTTGAATGTGATTTTGATAATGTGATGGAATCCCCATTTGTTGTCTAATGTTTCATTCTTATATGACTTCCTAGGAAGCAGCAGTATTCCCACTCACTTATTATATTTTTTATTTCTAGTGAAAACTCAGATGCAACAAGGATTAATCTCTATAGCTGCCCGCACTGTTATTACACATCTGGTAAATCACTTGGGCCATTATCCAATGAGTGGTGGTCCTGCTATGTTAACAAGTCAGGTGTGTGAAAATCACGACAATCATTACAGTGAAAGCACTGAACTTTCTCCTGAACTCTTTGAGAGTCCAAATATTCAGTTCTTTGTGTTGAACAATACAACCTTAGTGTCCTGTATCCAGATCAGATCTGAAGAGAGTATACCTGGAGGAGGTTTATCTGCTGGCCTTGCATCAGCCAATTCAAATGTCAGGATTATAGTACGTGATCTTTCTGGAAAATATTCATGGGATTCTGCCATCCTGTATGGACCACCTCTTGTAAGTGGTTTGTCAGAACCTACATCTCTTATACTTTCATTGTCTCACCAAGAGAAGCCAGAAGAGCCTTCTACATCTCATGAATGCTTAGAAGATATAACAGTTAAAGATGGGGTTTCCCTCCAGTTTAGAAGAAGATTTAGAGAAACTGTACCAACTTGGGATACAATAAGAGATGAAGAAGATGTTCTTGATGAGCTTTTGCAGTATTTAGGTGTAACTAGTCCTGAATGCTTACAGAGGACTGGAGTCTCACTTAATATTCCTGCTCCACAGCCTGTGTGCATTTCTGAAAAACAGGAAAATGATGTTATTAACGCTATCCTTAAGCAGCATACAGAGGAAAAAGAATTTGTTGAGAAACACTTTAATGACTTAAACATGAAAGCTGTGGAGCAAGATGAACCAACACCTCAGAAACCTCAGTCAGCATTTTATTATTGCAGATTGCTTCTTAGTATATTGGGAATGAATTCCTGGGATAAAAGGTAAGAATAAAGGAGAAATTTTTCCTTTTTAAAAAAATATTAGTCTTATTCATCTTATGATCAGCATTTTAGTCTCTGTTCTTTCCCTCACTAAATTTTACCTACCAATTAGTTCTTTGACCAGTGGGCAGATTTTCTTTTGATTTTGAGTCTACTGAGTTTCAGTTTTCAGGTTTCAAGGGAATAAAAAGATAACTTAATGTAATAAATTAACTTTAACATTTTCATAATGACTAGTATAACTATCTGACTTAGAACTCATAGCTCATACAATTGAAAAAAATCTTATTTTTTCCAACCTTTATGTAAGCTAATAGGAAAAACTGTTTTTTCTTATAACACTTCTAACACCAAATGTGTGAGTTTTTCACACCAAGCAGTTTCAACAATACCTGGAGTTAGCACAGACAAGTTAAGGGCTCAGACCAACAAGACTGCCCCCCACTTTAGACATCAATTGCAGGTCTGGGTCACCCATACTTCTGGGCAACTGGCTGTAAATCAGAGGTTCCTACAACCCCCTTCTTGGGTTTGAAAATTAACTATAATGATTCGTAAAACATTTACTTACATTTATCAGTTTATTACAAAGGATAGTTAAAGAATACAGATGAACAGCCAGATGAAGAGGGACATAGGGTAAGGATTCCAAGTGTGGAAATTTCTGTCCCTGTGGAGTTGCAGTGTGCCACCCTCCCAGCACACTGAATGTGTTCACCAACCTGGAAGCTCTCTAAATCCCATAATTTAGGGATTTTCATGGAGGTCTTACCATGTAGGCATGATTGATTATTAACTCAGTGTCCAGTTCCTCTCTCTCCCCAGAGGTGGGGCTGAAAGTTTCAAGATCCTAATCATGGCTTGCTCTTTCTGGTGATGAGGCACCATCCTGAAGTTATCCAGGACACCACCAAGAGTAACCTTATTAGAACAAAAGATGCTCTTATTACCCAGGAAATTCCAAAGGTTTTAGGAGGTCTGTGTAAGACTCTCCTGTTACCTCCAGCACTCAGGAAATTACAAGGGTTTTAGGACCTCTGTGTCAGGAACTGGGGACACAGCCCAAATGTATATTTCTTATTATGGCACATAAGCCTAACTTTTTTTTTAGACAAACAGTGATATGATCATTTCTTGTTTGTATCAGAGAAATTAACTCAGGATTTAGCATCAAATCAAGAAAAGAATCTGGATTTCATTTTTTAAAATTTTGTTTTCTCTTATGCATATTGCAAAACCTCATTAAAAACTTGCAGTACACACACAGTTTTGAAGTAAGTTAAGTAGGAGTTAAATGAAAAGGCATGAGACTTAAAGCAGAAGATCCAGGTTAGAGTCACTTAAACTTTGAGCCTCGGGTTACAGTCTGCAAATTGAGGAAATAACTCCCACCTCGCATGATGGTAAGAATTAAATTAGATAATGTATATAAAATACTAAAATTGTACACTAATGTAAAGCATTATTAATATTTTTAAATATTAAAAATATTTTAAATGTATCTTTAAAATTGATTTTTTAAATGTGATACTAAAAGCTGTAGGGAAGTGGAAGAAGCATTATTGAATGTATTGTTTTTGTTCAGTTTGTAGTAGAAGGGGAGCTCAGATATCACTGGATGAATAAATCTTAAAGTAATTCAAATGCATGTGAAGCACTGAATTGGAATTCTACTTGCTTACCTAGTGTTTATAATCTTACTTGGTTTAAACCCTTCCATTTATTAGAAGGGTGTATCCGCCTTATGGGAAAGCCATGTTATAACAGGAAAACAATTTGCCTTATGGTATGTCCACATACAGGTAATTGCCACTAATATAAATTCATTCTACTCTCTTTTGCCGTAGAATGGTCCATACATTGTCTCTTGAGAAAAATTAAAGATGGGAAGCTATATTTTACCACAGCAAACATTGATTTCATGAATATAATTTATACATAATTTAGCACCTATGTAATGTATTTGGTAAAATTTACACACTGCTTTGTAGTGTAGAAAAATACCTATCATGTAAAACAAAAAAAAAAAACAAATTCCATCTGGATTACACATCCTTATTTGGTAATGATTTAGATTTTGTGAATATTTTATTTCTCATGAGGAACAACTTTCTCACATATTTTTATGAAACTCTTGAGAAGGAACCTATAAGTATTTTTATCCATTTTCCTGAATATGAGTTTGGGAAACTCACAGCATCTGCAAGGAAACATTTAAGTGGCCAGTAGATTATGATCCACTAGCAGAAATGTATGAGGGCCTGGGTAGAAATAATGACATATATTCTTTACATTTTTTTTAGGGTCTGTTCTCCTTTGTGTTAGCAGTATGAAAAGGCAAGAAAAGTATAAGAGTTGCATGAGTAGACTGGAAAGTATTTCCAGAACTGTCATGTCATTCACTGCAAATATGATGAAAATGTTTATAAATCTCTCTATTTAGGAGGAGCTTTCATCTCCTGAAGAAAAATGAAAAACTACTTAGAGAACTTAGGAACTTGGACTCAAGACAGTGGTAAGTTGTTGGGAAATTTTCAGGTTTATCTCTGGCACCTGTCAGCTATTCCTCTGTTCGTGTGTGAATAATACTGTATTGTTGAATTATAACTTTCTGAGCAGAAACTGTTTTTCATTTATATATACCTTAGAAATACCATTTTTAGAAAAATCTACAGCTGCATTTAAATGTTTGGTATCTTTGGATTGTTTATAAATAATAAACACTCGACGTGTTTTATACTTTTGTCTTCAGTTTTTTGCTTTTCCTGTTCCCACAGTCAGTTTGTCCACCCAGCTCTGATTCCACTTACCTTTCTGTCCAGCAAACTCACATATTGTCAACCATTTTTAAAATGCCTTATCTTGCACCCTCAAAACTGTTCTTCTGCTTAAGTTTATATATATATATATATATATATATATATATATATATATATATATATATACACACACACACATATATGTGTGTGTGTGTGTG